AAGGTCATCACCAGTTGCTTCTGCCTTTTCCCACTGTCACTGGACAAGCCCTCCACAAGAACTGTCATGGCGGACATCTTCGCTTCGTGACTGGTTTTCCATTGTGTAACTGCGCTTAGCCTCCCCTAACTCCATCTGTCGCGACCTAGTGCTGTTTCATAACAACCAACCAATCTCTTCACTCTTGTAGATATTGCCCCGACCCCCTCATTCTTCAGTGGCCAAAGGTATCCCACTACCCAGGTCATTCCCCTGGGGACTCCAAAGACACCCGTGAGAGTTGTAACGACTGGGTTCTCACACTAAGCAAAGGGACTCTGTGCCTTGCACACTAGCTGGGATGGCACTCTGCTTGTCTGCCTAGTGGAGAGTGACCTGGTCTGAAACTCCTTCCTCCCCTTTGCTTTTCTGCCCACTCCTGATGTATCCCAGCTGGATCCGCCGCTAGTCAGGGGCCGTGTGCTGCATTTGGGTTTGGGCTGCAAGGCACATCTGCTATCAATTGGCTAGAGCAGAGGTGGCCCATTGGAGGAACGCTATGTTGGACAGAGAGCCAGGCCCTGTTTTCCTACCATGCTTGCCGTTACTGGCTGTGGTTTTCCTGGCAAGAGCATGCCCTTGACTCCAAATCTGAAGTGGACCCTGAGGGAGCCAACCACTGCGGGCTGGCAGCTCACGGACTCCTTGCAGCTGAGCAGCAAGTCGTGTCTTGGAAGGACAGTGAGCTGAGCACCTTGTTAGCCAGCACAGTCTCAATTTTCTACTCAGGGCTCTAGCTACGTGCAAAGATAGCGCGCTTATGAAGTCCTTAACCAACTCCCTGCGTTTCATGCATCCTGGCAGTTGAGAGGCCATCCTAAAGGGGTAGGGCTTAAGAATGTGAACTAGCGCATTCAGAATTCATTGTTAAAGTCGGTGCCTGCAGGCTAGCATTGGGGAAATTCCAGGCTGGATGATTTCCAAGGCTCTCTTAGTGCACTAGCATTCCATTTCTTAAGTCTTAAAGTGTCATACACTTTCCATGTTTGGACTGACCCATGAATTGGGCAGAATTGAGAAATACTGGACTTCATAATTCCTGGTAGAGATAATTTGTAGAATAACCTAGGAACTATTGCTGATGTCAGATGGATCTTGGCTCAAAGCAGAGAACACCAGAAAGGTGTTTACTTGTGTTTCATTGATCATGCCAAGGCCTTCGACTGTGGATCATCATAAACTATGGGTAGCCTTGAGAAGAATGGGCATTCTGGATCGCTTCCTTGTGCTCATGTGCAGCTCATACACGGATCAAGAGGCAGCTGTGGAAACATAATGAGGGCAGGCTGCATAGTTTAAAAGCAGCAGCGGTGTGCTTCCGAGTGGTGTCCTCTCACCATCCTTGTTCAGTCCGTATGCTGAGGTAATCATCAGGAAAACGGAATTCTATGAAAAAGAGTGTGGCATCAGGACTGGTGGAAGGCTCTTTAACAATATGCAGGTGACACAACCCTGCTTGCTGAAAGTGAGGAGGAACTGAAGCTCTTGCTGATGAAGCAAGGATTGCAATCCTCGGGATGGAATACAGTTCAATGCAAAGAAAACCAAAATCCTCACAACTGGACCAGTGAGGATCCTTAAGAGAAATGGAGGGGGGAAAGGTTGAAGTTGTCAAGGATTTTGTCTTGCTGGGTCCCACAATCAATGCTCTTGGAATCAGCAGTCACGAGAAAAAGAGGCGTTTGCTACACTAGGTAAATCTGCTGCACAAGACCTCTCTTTAGAGTATCGAAAAGCAAGGATGTTACTTTGAGGACGAACGTGCACCTGACAGAAGGCATGGTATTTTCCATTGCCTCATGTGCATATGAAAGTTTAACACTGAATAAAGAAAACTGAAGAGGAATCTATGGATTTACATTGTGATGCTGAAGACGAATATTGAACGTACCACGGAGTGCTAAAAGGACAAACCGATCTGTCTTCGGAGAAGTACGGTCAGAGTGCTTCTTAGGGGCAAGGACGGGGAAATGACTTCTTACATACTTTGGACATGTTGGCAGGAGAAGCTAGTCACGGGATGAGGACATCATGTTGGGTGAGGTGGAGGGGCAGCGGAAACGAGGAAGGCCCGCCAGGAGATGGAGTGACACCGTGGCGGCAACCGTGGGCTCGGGCATGGGAACAGTGTGTGGATGGTGCAGGACAGGCCCGCCTTTTGTTCTGTTGTGCATAAGAT